CTATGGGAGAATGATGTGAATTTATGGGATTTGAATGGATTTGAACCCGCCCGCACCAGTGGTTTTGTTGGCACATTTTAAGGCACATTAGCTCCACCCGAAAGGTCCACTGGGAACTGGCAAAGCGGCCATCATGCCATGGAATTAAACAAAATGGTATTGGTCAAGTCATTTCGATGATGGGCCAACAGCTACACCATATTCTACGTATTGATGATCGCAGAATTTGATCTGGTGTTATCTGGTATGTGCCCATCATTCATGTTGGTTACCCCATTTTTTGGGGGGGGGGTCAGTTTCAGTCCTCAACAATGACGGTCCGATCTCTAAAACCAATCTTCCAACATTTCCCAACCCTGCTCTCAGCCCCCCAAATTTACTTAACTCAGAAACACCTCCCATTTAAATACCATGTTCTTTGGTTAATCCCCTTAAATCCCATCCATTTTTTCATCGTCCAAAAGCTCCACTGGTCCCATCCGAAGAAAACCAGGCCTGAACGCTGTCGACCTCATTCAGAGAGACGTGTCCACGGGGTGGATCCGACTGAAAGGATTCCTCGTTGGTGAAATAGTCCAAGCGATCCTGTGGGGCAAGGTTTCATGATCACCAGTAACTGGAGGTAACTGGTTAGTAATTGGGATTATGAGCTTAATCTATAAATGGGATAAGCAAATGGGATGATCTTCCAAGTAGGATTCAAAATAAATGTGGGTGTCTGGAAATTACTTTTTGTACTCCAAACATGCAAATTTTCATAGAGAAAATGATGATTAGCCGTTGGATGGAATGGGGTACCTTATTTTTAAACAAACCCATGTGGGTTTTCCATGTGTGGTCTGTCCAAAAAAAAAAACGGGACTTAACCATTCAATTTTGGGTGGATTTACCCGTGTTTTACATGGCAAGTTCGATTCGATTGGGAACATGATGTATAAATGGCTACGAATTGTAATTTGTCCCAAAAGATTGGGGTGCAAAACAGACCATCATCGGGGAGATAGCGGGAGTTTGAGGCAACGAATTTGGGTCTAATATGGTATGATTTTGATTGGGGTAGCACCTTGGGGTTTGAGATGTTTGAGCATGCTGAATCGACCAAAGAATCGGGTTGTCTAACCATACTGGGTGGATAACTCCTGCTTGATAGCCAATAATGTGGGTATAACATTGGGTGTCCACTCAACCTTCTTACCCACTGAAGTTTGATAAGTACTATTCTGATGGTCATGGTGACAGGGTAGGGGATATCGGTATATAGATAGAACTCCCGGAAAATTCAGACGTAACTCCCCAAAGCTATAAGATGTGTGGATGTGTGGGTGGATCTATCTATTATATATATATACACACAGTATGTACACAACAACATTACTTTTCCTCAAAAATTGTACATTCCAAGCTGTCGATTTCAATGAAAGGTGCAGCTGTGCAGCTTATTGAATGATACTCTGATGTGACCATAAAGAATGGATGTCCAAACTTGGGACTGCCGCAGCCAATAATGGATCAAGAAATGGCTAATAGTTGGGGGAACTACCAATCCGGGTATGTCAAAATTGGCTTCCATAGGGATCCAAAACCGCCAGAAATCTTTCGATCGCAGCAGCTTTGAAGCCTCCATCTTTCAGAAATCCAGGCCTTGTAGAGAACACAGAAACGATCTTGGATTTTCGTCTTTTTGAGGATGCCAAGGGTCCTTAGCAGCAAAATGCATCAAATACCCTCTGGTAATTTAACATAGCTATTGAAAATTGCAATTTATAGTGGATTTACCCATTGAAAATGGTGATTTTCAATAGCTATGTTAAATTACCAGAGGGTACATTCAAATACCATCCGTGCCACTGGCAACTTCGAAAAGACATGGTGGACCATGGTGGACCATGTTTCAACCAAGGCGCTCTTGTCGAATGATGTCCTGGCACCCAAATCACCATGATCCACGCGGACATCACCAACAGCAGCAACCGCAACCCTTTAACAACAACTTCGTTGTCAATGCTGCTGCAATCATAGTTAGTTGAAATTATGTCAATATGATTTCTATGTTCAAACAAAATCAACAGCAATGCAAATGATAAGAATCATGATCGTACTAATACACCCATGTCCTCCCGCCCCCAAATGTCCATGCCCCCCAAACCATCCAAACCTGCGAGGCCATGATGAAAACGTCTCAGGCGCCACCCTGGTTTTGATCACCATCAACAATGGAGATTTACCTGAATTACCCAGAATTAAGGGAGTTAATCAGTCAATCATGAAACCTTGGGATTTGATCCCCAAGGTATTCTTTTTAGAGTTCCGTTGGGAAGATGAGATTCAACCATCAAAACTGTGGGTATCATATTTTTAGACACCATTGTCCCAGTTACAAGGAGCTGGTGTGTAATCATGACTACTTATTGCCCCTGTTCTACATTGGGTAACCCTTAAGGGGGCTATATAATTACTGACCAGGGTTCTTAACCAGTCACTGGTTGTCAAATCTGCTAGTTGCATCCCCAAAATGTCGGCAATCCAACCCCCATATCAAAGTATATCAAATACCCCCAACAGCGCACCCCCAACAGCGCACCCCAAAATGAATAGACCCAATATTAAACCATAAAAAGGGAGTAGCATTCCGATTAATTCGGCTTGTTTGAAATTTAGGTACCCCTAAATCCACGGGTTTCTCCCTGTAGAAATAGCCATTTGGGGAGCCCCATTTTCCAACGGAAGTCCGCCCTTCGCCCAGGTGCTTTGAAGATGTCTACAGTGCCTCCAACCACAGAGCCAAAAGAGCGGCGACGATGGCAGCGAAGCTGTCAAACTTTGACCCCCCGGATTGAACATTTGGGGATTGAATGGATTGAGAAGTACCTGGAACTTCAAACTCACAACACGACATGTTCTGGAAGCTCTGTGCTTTTGAATGTGATGGGGAGTCGGAAGTTCCAGGTAGAATGGCCTGGGTTGTTAGAGCCTGGACCCATTTTCTTTCCACTTTGTGATGCTGGCATACACCATACACAAAAGCTACAGCACTACAGGAATGTGATGCGCTTTGCTCAACAGGGTTCGCCATGAGTCCCTGAAATGCATCGCTTCAAGGAACCAACGTGTTGTTGGTGGTTTCAACCCCCGCATATTTCCTCCACAAAAATCATCATCCCAAATCGGATGGAAAACAAACAAGAAATAAAAAGAACATTAAACCACCAAACATTCAACCAACATTAATCACCATCCCAACCAACTCAGGAACCTTCGGCCTTTTCAAATCACAACTTCCACGTGTGGGTCACGGTTCCGCCACGGCTCGCAGGGTCGCCCCGGCTCCAATCGCAGGGTCGCCAAAGGGCCCAGTGCCAGGGCGAAAAAACATATGTGGGAAATCCAGTACCATAAACCTACCATTTGGGGATGATACTTACCATCCATTTATATCCATTTATAGTGATTCCGGGGATGATTGATTATTGGCTTGCTACATGTACAAAAAGTGGCTAGTTTTACTACCTATTGGCCCCTCATATGGTTATGATTTACCTATACCGGGCTGGGCAACCCTGTCTTAGGTAAATTCTAGCATCATTCAACCTGGCAACAAGCCTCTTGATACATCAACCTGGAAACCCCAACAGCTAGAAGTCAGATTATGTTTTCCCAAACTATCAGTTGCTTTTCTGCCAATCTTCTTCACTGCCATTTTCTGAAACAACAGTATTTACATATATAGTAACCCCCAAACAAGATAGACATGTAATTTAAACATGGTTGTCCATGCTTTCATCTGCTACAATCACTTAACTATGTGTGCTTATAGTAATTCGAATCGATCACTTCATGTAAACACTGGACTTCAGTTGGAAAAAACCTCTTCGAAGCCAAGATCGCTTTCAGACTGGCCGAAAGAGGAGGTGATCAAAAGTTACCGGGCTGCACCCCACATCGAATCTTTTGCGTGTTTGCCGTGGTGGGCTCATTACATGCTGATTCTTGAAAAGATCCCAGGGGTCTTACAAATCACCAAGTTGTATTCCCTTCGAAATGTGGTAGTCCCATTTTTCATGCTGCGCTCTTTGGCTCTGTTTCAACAGAGCTGGAAGCTTTAAACTGGTCGATCAACTCACTCAAAGAACTGCAACGGCTCCCACCTGTCGACTTGTCCCAGTCCCATCAATTTTAGTTCTCTCAGGACATTTCGCAATTATGACTAAGTGGTCTGGTCGCCCTAAGTTACAGTCGCAACCTCCATCTTCAACCTGGCTGTTCTACCACACAGGCTTAAAACCATGTAAACTCTCCAAAAGTCCACAAAGAGTTTACTAGGCTAATCCATGCTAATCCACATCCAAAAACCAACCCTCTGGAATTTAACATAGCTATACATAGCTATACATAGCTATACATAGCTATGCATATATATATATACATAGCTATGAAGGCCATGGCCCATAGAAATAGATGATTACCCTTTGGTAAACTAACAAACTATGGAAAATCACCATTTTCAATGGGTAAATCCACCATAAATTGTCATTTTCAATAGCTATGTTAATTTACCAGAGGGTAGATGATTATTTATCTATGAAACCTGATGATTTTCCGAAAAGGTGGAGACCTCCGCCTCCACATCTTCAGCATCCGCTGGCTCCGTCCAACGTCCATTCCTGGGTTTTGCATACCGATCGAGGTACCCCCAACGTTGACCCATACCATACAATACTATGTGTATATATATATATATCCACATGTATATAACATATGTAAACGATATCATGGGTTTGTGCATGCGCAATCATACATATAGATATAGACGGATATAGAGTGAAAAACAACATGTCGTGTCCATATCTTATATGTATAAACTATACATCGCGTATCATAATAATAATAGTAATAACAACAAAAAAAGTAATAAACACATCAGATCAGCATGTGTCAATTGTAAAAAGCTGTCGTCAAGGCGCTCTTTGATGAGGTCCACCAGCGCCTGTTTTTCCAGAGAAACCATGAGAAAAATGGAGGGTTTTTCCAGGGAAACTGCGCTAAAAATGGCTGATGTTTATGGGAAAATCACCTATGAATGGTGGTTTCAATGGGAAAAGCATCGAACTAAATGAGTGATTTTCCATTGCCATGTTTGATTACCAGAAGGTAAGTGAATTAGAATATGAATTCTCCATAAAACATGTGTGTGTGTGTTGATTGTGGTGATGGGGGCTTGTATCAAATTTCTGAGGGTAGAATCCTGAAATTCGAGTTGAAGAAGAAACATGACCTAATTAGATGGTGGGTTCGTAAAATGGGTTAACTTTGGACGATGATTTGGGGTCCCCCCATTTTAGGAAACCCTTATATACATACATATGTATATATATATATACATACATACATACATATGTGTATATATATATACATATATATATATCTTTATATATATATATCTTTATATATATATCTTTATATATATATATATATCTTTATATATATGCGTAATTATACGTATATATAATCATATATATAAGAGGTGAAGTGGTCGTTGGATCTCCAAACTCACCACTTTTTTCGGTGTTGGATCTCCAACTCGCCTCCACGGCATTTTCAGAGGGAATGCCTCTCTTCACGCAGTCATATTTGACGTAGAGATCAATCCTCAAAGCGCTACAGACACGAGTGGATAAGCGGTACGGCACAATGAAGGGAACTTGGAAAATGCTACATGAATGTACATGAATATCTGAGCAGAGTAAAGACTCAGCTGACTATGGGTCGTGCTTTCCGACACCACTTCCAACCTGAGTGCTGGTGATTCGGTGGCTCTGGATGCTTGTTGAAGTGCTCAGACATGTTGATTTGAACACAAAGTTGGATGATTATTCCCAATATATGGGAACATAAAAAATGTTCCAAACCACCAACCAGAAGTCATATTCACTAAGCTTTTTAGCTACCCCCATATAGAATACTATAGAGGGATGGGATTATGCAGATTTCCATGGACTACCATCTTAGGATCCGCACATAGCCAAAATCTGCATCCGCCATTTCACCAGGCCTCGGTTAAACCCGAGATCCCCCAGAAGATGCAAACCAGTGCCTTGGTCACATAGCCATGGGAAATGGCCCATTTATAGATGGCTTACCTATTAAAAATGGTGATTTTCCATGGCTATGTTAAATAACCAGATGGTATATCAATAGGTGGTCTTTCACATGTCATTTTTGGAACCTCAAACAACCAACAATGAATTGGGGTTTCCGCAGTTTGGTTATGGTAATCAAGACGCCCGGTTCACAGTATTCAGTTGATGACCCATTCACGATGCAGCCCATCACCGCGATACGGACACCTGGCTGGTTGATCAGGATTGAATGATGTTGAATGTGTAGAACAAAGGCTTGCAATCCTAGAGTAGGAGTTGAGTGCCTTTAGTTTCCGACCGTCACGATTGACATGGCTATAGGTTCTATGTACTCCAGGGACCAAGTAATAAATCAAAATCAAGTGGTATGGATTGGTCCCACAATGGGATATGGCCCACCCAAGTTGTAGCCCTTTCATAGGGAAAGTTATGATTCACCAGATTAATCAGGGGACGGAATTTCATGGAATGGAATGTAATGTTCGCTCACATTTCAGGGAAAAATATATCTAATACATATATTATTATTGTATTATCATTATTATCATGTTTGTTTATTATATTATATTATATTATATTATATCATATCATATCATATCACATCACATCATATCATATTATATTATATTATACTATATTATATTATATATATTGTCTTATACTATATTATATTATATTATGTTATGTTATATTTTATTAAACTAAATTGAATTAAATTAAATATCATATTTTACTATATATCTATCGTCTATATCATGTAATCATATATCATATATGAAAAACATGCCCACCATTTTTTTCATCTCCGGCGCCTGGCAAGTGTCCAGTGCGCTCCTGGATCTTCGCCGTGGTGTCTTGCCTTGGTCCAAAAAGACCGTGGGTTAACCATGGGTTAACCATGGGTTAACCATGGGTTAACCATGGGTTAACCTATACACCCTATACTAAATTACAAAGTCATGGTCTATTATAATGACTTGGATGATTTGGGGGGCACCCCCATGACTTAGGAAACCTCCAAATGATGTTGGAAACCATGAGATAAAACGGGGGTCCATATTTTGCGACAAGCCTAAGTCTCGTCAGGTAGAAAAAATATATCAAAGTTGTTCTGGTGTTCTAGTGTTCTGGCTGCAAAGACCCAAGATGTGTGTGTGTGTGTCCCCAAGTTTTCTTCCTTGCTTTGGACCCATACCCCCGTGGATTATCAACATACATAATCTGTAGTCCCATTTTTCGACCCTTTTAGCATCAGTCCGATCCGCTCCCAGCACCGACCCTGGGCTGCTGGACAGGTTGAAGAGTGTTCGGCCGCAGGAGGGGCAACTAATGAACTCCGTCTTGGAGATTCGCATACGCGAGGCCTGGAAAACCACCAATGGTGGACCCCCAGGGTTTCCACTCCTGTCCGGAACAAATACAAATCATGTTTGGTGGTTTCAAACCATCAAAGAAAGTCATGTGGGATACTCCCCAAAATTAGAAAGTAGAAAACATGTTAACCAACATCCAAGAACATTCAAAAAGCCAGTATATCCAGGCATGTCTATTCGACCTGCAGGAGGTTGAACGAAGACTCTCGGAGCATGTCGGGAGCCAGCTCCTGCCAGTTGTTCATTGATGCCCTGGACGAGGGCCTGTGCTGCCCCAAATTCAATATGGGGGATAGGTATCATGGCCCAAAAGATGGAAAGTCATTTGCCACCATCTCAGTACAGTAAGAGGTTGCTTTTCTGATTTTGTTCGGGATGCTATATCTATATAACCAACACTGAAGCTAAAGATCGAAACTCGCCATACCTAAGATACTGTGGCTCACCTTGCCGATACCCTGCAACAAAGCACGTAATGTTTGAGCGAGATGTGATATCCTTCCATTTGTTGCTGAAATCAACCCATTCACCAGTCCGTGTATGAGATATATTAGGCGATGCGGATACCCTGGAAACTTTGCCTTTCACATCGAAATTGCTGGTGATGATTGTTCATCCTTCATATCATACATCGAAAATCGTAGGCTTTGAAGGGTTTTGACTCATTCTCACTTTGCTAATGCCTCTCCAATAGTAATCTGCCCATGTCTTTCACAACGAGGTCCTCCGCGTCCCACAAGAGGCCCTCGCCCATGCCATCCTGGGGGCCGCCAGTTTGAGGAATCCCATGGTTGCGGGTCTCCAACGAAGCCACAAATGGAGGTTTCCTGAAATAGGGGTACCCCCAAATCATCCATTTTAGTAGGATGTTCCCAAAAAAAACATCCAATTTTGGGTATCCCCATTGATGGAAACCCTCAAATGGTGATCATCAGCATGGCGAGTTCATCAGTGGCTCTTTGGGTCGTAAATGTTGATACAAAGAGGATACCCCGTCATCAGCGAACATTGGGATAACACCGGGATATCAGGGACTTTTTCTGCATCTATGAACTAAATCTATCAAGGAAGCTGTTTCATTTTGTTGATGTTCCATCCCGCCTTAAGGATGATGAGTCCAACTTGACAAACTAGGTTAAAGCCACCATCCAATGAATGTTGTGGAAGTGAGGGAAACGAACTGCATCGGAACCGACATTAGGAAGTGCTGGTGCTGCGCCAACGCTCGAAAGACTTTGTCGGTGTTTCTGGGAATGGGATATATAAACAGTTATGTTTCTGTTATAAGTGTTATAAGCCCAAATTGTCCATTTTAGATATTCTAAGAAATGTGATTAACCCTCAAAATTCAGCATATTTTCAGACAACCCCTATTGAAATCAAGCCGTGCGAATGTATTAATTACTGCAATGCTTCATCTTGTTCAACCGAGTTTCGACAAAAAGACTGCCAAAGTCTGCAGATGCATTGACCACCTGGGAAAGCTGCTGCTTCAGGTCTTATTTAATGAGGGATGGGTCATCCTAGCCTCACCGCTTGAAGCAAATTTGGTCTTTGCTGCTTCTTGAATTTCGGATGCTAAGCCATTCTCATGATATCCTAAAGTCATCTAAAGTCAACGAAGTTGTTGGACCGTTGGACCCAAAGAAAGAGGTTGCTGGGAATGTTCCCTGAATCCAACTCTGGGAGGAAGAGCATTGGAAGGGGTTGTGACGGTTGTGCTCATCTGGGCTTGGGGTGTAGGATTCGTCACTATCCCTCTGAGGTTCCAACAACATCGTCTTGGTCCTTGCCCTCCTCCTGATCTCAGGGATCTTCATGAGGACAGCTCAACATATGTGCCACAAAAATGGTACTTGCCAGAATGATCAAAAACATGTGCGCTGTTCTACTGGGGATACCCTGTAAGCAAATTGATTTCAAATCAAGAGTCGTTGCAAATGGATCATTTAGATGGATGCATGATGCAGATCCGTGGAAGGAATCCGTAGAAGATACAATTGTTGCTGTTTCAGAAGATGTAGTGATAGACAAAATGTGTTCAGAGGTGCTCTGATAGCTAACAGAAAACTCCACAAAAAGAAGTCCAGAGACGTTTCAAAAAAACACCCCGAGCCAAAATGTCAAGAATTCCAGGCTTTTCAGCTGTCAATTCCGCAGCGACTCTCCTTGGGGTACTCATACCACAGCATTGCTGGCACCTAAAATGGAACGTCGTCTCCCTCAAAACCAATTGCCAGCATCAAACTGTACTCCAGCTGAACTCTCACATTAAAGCGACTTACAAGAGTGGTTGGAGCATGTGTTCTATGTTTTCTCTGTGAGATTTGGATTTGTTTTGCTGAAATTGCAAGTGTTCAGTTCCACAAGTTCCATATGAGTTTTCTCTAGTGTTCTCCAACTGAGCTTCCGGCAGAACTTTCGCATTGGCGAAGCTTTGCAAAGAACCTGGGAACATCCTCTAGCATGGAGTTGGACAACGCATCGTTTGTTGTAGATGGCCACTTCAAACATGTGGTTGTGTTTGAAAATTTAGGTCAGACCCCCCAAAAAGGGTCATGTTAATAGAAAGTGCTGATGTTCACCAGTGGATTCAGGGGTACTCACCGCCGGAATTCCAGAATTCCCGCGCCTCCTGGCAAGGAAGGTCCTGCCAAGAATTAGCATCGTGCTCCATATCACCGAATTAAATATTGTGGACGAATAATTCATGTATCAATATTAAATCAATATGTGAGGTAGTAACGGTAGTAAAAGCTGCTATTGTTATATCTATTTTTGTACCAACCAACTGAGGTTTTTGAAACTTCAATCGCCTCCGGCGTCAAACATGGCACGGAAAATCTCCAGCAGTGATCCCATGAAAATCCCGGATTGGATTACCGTATATTACCGTATTACCCATTCATAGTCCATCATAATGCCCAAACAAAAAAAACATGAATCATGCCATATCATTCCATAATATAACACCCAGAAAAACGGAATTCCAGAAAAATATTCCGTCAATAAAGCCAACAATGGGATGATTAATGGGTATATTATGGCTAAATAATTCATATGATTGGGATGTTAATCATCCCATGAAGAATCCATTAATGTCAAATAATCTTAGGACTCTATGTTTAATAAGCCATTTAATAATACCATTAAGAATCCATTACTGTTGAACTTGAGAGGGGGGGGCGAAAGGTAGGGGGGAAAAAGACAGGAGGGAGAGGCAAGAGAAGGTGCGACTGTTTGTAACGCAAGCACGCCGACGACGACGACGACTACTACTACTACTACGACTACTACTACTACTACTATGACGACTACTACTACTATGACGACTACTACTACCACTACTACTACTACTACTACTACTACTACTACTACTACTACTACTAGTACTACTACTACTACTACTACTACTACCACTACCACTACCACTACCACTACCACTACCACTACCACTACCACTACCACTACCACTACCACTACTACTACTACTACTACTACTACTACTATTACTACTACTACTACTACTACTACTACTACTACTACTACTACTACTACTACTATGAGGACTACTACTACTACTATGAGGACTACTACTACTACTATGAGGACTACTACTACTACTATGAGGACTACTACTACTACTATGAGGACTACTACTACTACTACTACTACTACTACTACTACTACTACTATGAGGACTACTACTACTACGACGACTACTACTACTACGACGACTACTACTACTACTACTACGACGACGACTACTTCTACTACTACGACTACTACTACTATGACGACGACGACGACGACGACTACTACTACTACTACGGCTACTACTATTACGACGACGACTACTACTACTACTGCTACTACTACTACTACTGTACTACTACTACTACTACTATTACTATTACTATTACTACTTCTACTACTACGACTGCTACTACTACTACTACTACTACTATTACTATTACTACTTCTACTACTACGACTGCTACTACTGCTACTACTACTACTACTACTACTACCACTACCACTACCACTACCACTACCACTACCACTACCACTACCACTACCACTACCACTACCACTACCACTACTCCTACTACTACTACTACTACTACCACTACTACTACTACTACTACTACTACTACTACTACTACTACGACGCCCAGGCCCGTTACACTTTACATTCAATTGGGAAGATCAACAAGGGTATTAGGGAATATTAAACTCCCACCCCTGTTAAACTTTACATTGAATTGGGAAGATCAACAAGGGTATTAGGGAATATTAAACTCCCACCCCCGTTAAACTTTACATTCAATTGCGAAGATCAACAAGCGGATTCATGACTTCGTGGAAATTGCGTTGAAGAGTTTGCCGATTTCTAACGTTAGATGTATAAGGTAGGCATTTTGGACAAGAATCGGTTGGAAAGAAACTTTTGGAGTTTGAAAAGCTCACCCAAGCAGCTGGAATGTTTGTGTGCTTGTTGTTGGTGAATCGTTATTCTTGTAGGTATACCGTGTTGTCAGCACGCGGACTCGTTGGACGGGCCTCCAGGGAGTCGACTGAGCTAGTTGTTGACGCTGTGGAGGCGCTTCCGCCACGTCTACATAAAGTATGGTTTTTTGTTCTGTACAATGACGTTCCGAACTCCGAATACGTGGGCCCGGTGGAGGGGCCTCCAAAGGGTCAACCAAGTGAGGGGTTGACTCTGTGGAGGCTCTCCCACCGGGTCCACAGAAACTATTGTTTTTGGTTAGTTGTTGACTTTGTGATTTCTAGCAAGTTTACATATTTTAAAGTCCAACCGGGTCCACAGAAACTAATGTTTTTGGTTAGTTGTTGACCTTGTGATTTCTACTAAGTATACATAAAATATCGTTTTTTGTTCTGTACAATTACGTTCCGAACTCCGAATAGGTGGGCCCGGTGGAGGGGCCTCCAGAGGGTCAACCAAGTGAGGGGTTGACTCTGTTGAGGCTCTCCCACCGGGTCCACAGAAACTATTGTTTTTGGTTAGTTGTTGACTTTGTGATTTCTAGCAAGTTTACATAAAGTCCAACCGGGTCCACAGAAACTAATGTTTTTGGTTAGTTGTTGACCTTGTGATTTCTACTAAGTATACATAAAATATCTTTTTTTGTTCTGTACAAGTACGTTCCGAACTCCGAATACGTGGACCCGGTGGAGGGGCCTCCAGAGGGTCAACCAAGTTAGGGGTTGACTCTGTGGAGGTTCTCCCACTAACAAGGGTATTAGGGAATATTAAACTCCCACCCTGGTTGAACTTTACATTGAATTGGGAAGATCAACGAGCGTATTAGGGAATATTAAACTCCCACCCCCGTTAAACTTTGCATTCAATTGGGAAGATCAACAAATGTATTAGGGTATATTAAACTCCCACCCCCGTTTAACTTTACATTCAATTGGGAAGATCAACAAGGGTATTAGGGAATATTAAACTCCCACCCCCGTTAAACTTTGCATTCAATTGGGAAGATCAACAAGGGTATTAGGGAATAGTAAACTCCCACCCCCGTTAAACTTTACAGTCAATTGGGATGTTGATGATGTTGATGTTGATGTTGTTGCTGATGATGCTGATGATGATGATGATGTTGATGAAATGAGGGAAAAATTCGTCATCCGTTTGCCCAAACGAACGACACGGGGAATCTCACAAAACATTGGCCCTGCGCAGTCAAAACGCACTATCCCGGGCAGCACATCCGTCCTGGCCGTAGTACTACTACTACTACTACTACTACGACTACTACTACTACGACGACTACGACTACGACTACGACTACTACTACTATCATTCGTATGGCACCTACCTCACTAGAATTTACCAAAGAACAGAAAACATCATTTTTTCGGGGTTGCGCTTCATCTCGCCTCGATGAAGCACAACCAAGTGCTTGGGAGCACAACCAAAGTCATTTATCGCACAAACATGAGCTTGGTTGCGCCCTCAAACGCTGGGTTGCGCTTCATCTCGCCTCGATGAAGCACAACCTTGGAAAATGATATTTTTTTATCTTCTTTGGTAAATTTATGTCATCCAGACCGTAGCATATTCTAACTTCGCGAAAAACGCGAAAAAAGCGAAAAAAAGTATCAACGTCGGAAAAGCGAAAAAGCAAAGCAGCAAAATCTAAAAAACACAAAAGCAGAATAAAAGGAGAAAAAAGAAAGGAAAAACATGGAGAGGCTCAAAGGGAAAAATGAAACAAGAGTTACATGTTTTGTTTTTTCACGCTTTCTTTCAAGTTTTTCGACAGGCAAAATAATCTATGGTCTGGAAGACATAAATTTACCAAAGAAGATAAAAAATATCATTTTCCAAGGTTGTGCTTCATCGAGAGGAGATGAAGCGCAACCCAGCGTTTGAGGGCGCAACCAAGCTCATTTTTGTGCGATAAATGACTTTGGTTGTGCTCCCAAGCACTTGGTTGTGCTTCATCGAGGCGAGATGAAGTGCAACCCCGAAAAAATGATGTTTTATGTTCTTTGGTAAATTCTAGTGAGATAGGTGCCATGCGAATGATATGAATAGGGGTCAGCATGATGTTAACGTTTATGTTCATCGTGGCACACCCAGTGGCGAAATGCTTTGATCCAAACATATCCGACGGCGACATGATGACATGATACACTCCACTACACCACACTACATTTCACTACTCTACATTGCACTGAATGACACTGCACCACAAATAGGCAGGTAGACAGGTAGACAGATAGACAGATAGACAGATAGACAGATAGACAGATAGACAGATAGACAGACAGACAGATAGATAGATAGATAGACAGACAGATAGCCAGGTAGACAGATAGATAGATGAAAGAGAGAGAGAGAGAGATAGATAGATAGATAGATAGATAAATAGATAGATAGATAGATAGACAGACAGATAGATAGATAGATAGATAAATAGATAGATAAATAGATAGATAGAGAGAGTTTTGAGCGATAGATGGGTGGAGAGATAGAGAGATAGATAGATAGAAAGATAGATAGATAGATAGGTAGATAGATAGACAGACAGATAGATAGATAGATAGATAGATGGCTAGATAGATTGATAGATAGATAGATAGGTAGATAGATAGGTAGGTAGAAAGACAGATAGACAGATAGACAGGTAGACAGATAGACAGATGAAAGAGAGAGAGAGAGGGATAGATAGATAGATAGATAGATAGATAGATAGGTAGATAGATCGATGGATAGATAGATAGATAGATAGATCGATAGAAAGATAGATAGATCGATAGATAGATAGATAGATAGATAAATATATAGATAGAGAGATAGATAGATAGGTAGATAAAAAGATATATATGTATAGATAGATAGATCGATAGATCGATAGATAGATAGATAGAAGGATAGATAGGTAGGTAGGTAGGTAGGTAGATAGATAGATAGATAGATAGATCAATATATAGATAGAGAGATAGATAGATAGAAGGATAGATAGGTAGGTAGGTAGGTAGGTAGATAGATAGATCGATAGATAGGTAGAAGGATGAATAGATAGATAGATAGATAGGTAGATAGATAGATAGATAGGTAGATAGATAGACAGATAGATAGATAGATGGCTAGATAGATTGATAGATAGA